AACATTTTTCAGATGGATTTTGAGGTGCATCTGCAATTCTACATTTTAAAGTTACAACCTTATATAAACTTTTTCCTTAATTAAAAAAGAAAAAACAATATAAACAAATTTTTAAGGGTGAACCGGATTCATACATTCCTAAAACCAGCTGACTAGTTTGTATCTAAATCAGCAATCCGAATAAGAAATTTCAGGGCATTAAAACACTGATATAACAGTGGTATATAAGAAACTACTAAATAATGAAGAACACATCAAAGGAAATGAGGACATTCTCCATGACAACAAAAACTACAATCATGTGTAAAAGGAAAAAGAACAAAGATAAAAACAAAATAATCCATATACGATACTGTAGGCCTGTTTAGTAAGGTAGTATTACTTTCTTATTTGTTAAATTTTTCTTTTTTCTGGTTAGTTAGAAATTAGAAGAAAGTAGGGAAAATTAAATAAAAAAATGCCAAGTCTACTATTTTTGGTAGTCCGGCAGCCCATGTGGCTTTTGGTATTGTACTTATGTCATTGGAATGTCGGCTAATATTAATTATTTTTTTTTACAAGAAGGGGTATTTTTGTAAAAAAAAAAAAATGTGTACTTTTATGTTTGGGGGGTATTTGTGAAAAATATATATTTTGGGAAAAAAAAAAATGAGAAAAAAATTAAGTTGTGGTCAGTCCCATATATAGTGTTTCGTTGTAGTTATTTGTAATTTTCCCACAAAAGTAAGCTCACTTTCTACATTAAGCCGACATAAAGGTCTCTTCCTTTCTCTCTCTAAACTAAACTCATCTTCTTACCGCGGTGGTGTTAGAGAGAGAAACTGCTAGAGAGTGAGAGAAAGCTTGGGAATAATTCAATAGATTCCAAGCCCATCGAAACCCATTTTGGATGATGGGTCTTTGAAGATTAGAATTGACTTCTACCCCAGAAAATATTAAAAATCTCCAGGTCCAAGAGAGAGAGATTGTGTTGTGTTTCGAGTGGTAAGGGAGAGAAATTGTTGTCACGTTTAGAGAGAGAGAAAAATTGTGTTACGTTTCGTTGTACCACTGGGAAGAGAGATAAGCTTGGGTTTTGCATCATCCAACTCTCCTACATAGACAGAGAGAAACAGATACCCTTCCTAACACGAGAGACAGAAACGGGTTTTTCTTACCAGAAGACCGAAAGAGAAGCCAGCGATAACAGAATTCTCCATGGAAACAGCTGCGAGCTCGAGGGTACCCAAATGGCCTGCAAATGCTTGGGTGATCGCACCCAGCGAATACTGACATATCGATGTGAATATAGCTGGCCCTGCCAAATACCATAGCTTCTTCGATTCAACCGCAAACTCTCTACTGAACTCACCCAAGCTCCTTGTGGGTTCTATGTCCCCTTCAAATTCGACGAAACTATTCCCATTTCCTCGGCTTTCTCGATTCAAAAGAGGCTCATGCTCATCCTCCATCTCGCTCTCTCTTTCTCTTTCTCTGTCTCCCTCTCTCCTTTGAGGATCAAAACCAGATAAAGAATGAGATGGGTTTCTCTCTCTCTCTATGTGACGATCAAAACCAGATAAAGAATGAGATGGGTTTCTCTCTCTCTATGTGACTTGCTATGCCCTCGTTCTTAATAGAAAGTATGAGAGGGAGATGGAGCTTCTCTTCCTTCGGAATTTCACTCAAGTAATATTGCTTAACCCACAAACTAAATGGAGAATGACATCTCTCTCCAAGTGAAATGGACCTCTCTCCCTCTCTCTCTCTCTCTCTGAAGCATTAGTGGACGAAGAAGTTAGATAGGTGAGAAGAAGATGGGTACGGGTCTTGGAGTTTTTTTAAACTTGTTTGGATGTGTGGCCAATAAGCCTGTACTCACACGTCTTCTCATTTTCATTTAAAGTTTGTTTGGATGCGTAACTAATAACCCTGTATCAACCCTTCTTTTACTATAACTTTAAGGTAATTCGAAAAATATTTATAACTTTAAGGTAATTCGAAAAATATTTTACGTCAAAATTAGATGTTATGATAAAATTTGGAGGTGCACTTTAATTGGGTTGTTTAAGGTTGCAATTTTATAGAAATACACCCTACATCAAATCCCACTATCAAGTGTTAAATCAGACAGCTTAAAGTATGATATGGAGTTAAAAAAACATTACTATTAACTTGTAGCCTAATACTCTCAGCCTTCTGATTTCAAATCTGGCTAAAAGTAACTGACCTCCTTCCACAAAAGATACATAGTTTTTATTATATATATTTCCTATAAGGATCCGCATGACCAGTGTGATAGCAGGTCATATGACCATCATTGAAATCAGTAGAATGGATAGGTGTTGAAGAGTTGCCCCACCAACCATTTCAAATTGGACTGCATGCCCCAGTGTTCATTCATCACCAAGGTATAATGCTTATGAATATACTATTAGCATGGTCATATGGATCACAATAATGTTTTAGAATCCGCTCGCGCCTCGAGGCCCGGGTAACTCAGCCCAGTCCAAGTGGACTCGACTAGATATTGTACATGGCCCAAATAGCCCTAAAATATTGAAAAATTCAAATATATTGAAAGATTAAGTGTGACCACCTTGTACCAAAGATAAATGGTGTCAACGTATATTTTTCCTATTTTTTGTTGGGATTGTCTCTAAAAAGACCATTTATCTTTTGTATATGGAGCTCACAATTTAAGGGGAGCAACAGGTCTGGTCTAGCTGGACCCGGACCTGAATTGCACTTGAGTCCAAAATTTGGACCCATATCCGGATCTGTCAGGTCCCAAGTCTACCCATCGAGTCCCAGATCTACCCATCAGATCCCGGGTCTGGTTGGGTCCATTGCCACCCTTTGACTATGAGCTCTTTTTTCTTTTTTTCCCTTTTTTTACCATCATATACCCTATTATTAAGAACTTTTTATTTTTTTCAATAATACTGTAAATGTTGCCAATATTATGACAATATGAACATCTTGCGCAGGTCTAAAGATACATGATTGTCATCATATACTCTATGACTACGAGTACATGATCTGGACTCGAATAGTATTCGAGTCCAAAATTTGGACCCATACTCAGACCTGAGGCCGGGTCTGAGGTCTACCCGTCAAGTCCCGGGTCTTGTCAGGTCCATCGCCACCTCTAGATCACAATCAATCTTGTCCCTTAAATTTTAAAATTGGTGGTTGTAAAGGTGTCATCGAATAGATAAAGTTTTTAAAAAAAAATCTTAAACTTTATGACTCTCCCCAAACCAACCAATTTGAAATCTAATGAGTGGGAATGATTGCGGCTGTGTACAAAAGATAAATTATAGGCAGTCCCCTTTTTTTTACTTGTTACGGGGAAAAAGTAATTGATGTTTGATGGTGCTCAACCCTACCCCAAAATGTTAGTATTCCCACATGGCTGTAGTTCCAAAAGACTTTGAATTAGAAATTTGATATTTTAACGTTTAGACCAATGGGGTATTTTGTAATTTCAGCATTCGACATGGGCTTTTATAGGGTCAAAATAATTACCAAATTTTAAATTATTAATTAATTAAAAATTATATAAAGTTACAACCTTAAAATGTAGAATTAAAGATTCACGCCAAAAATCTATCGAAAAAATTTGTTTTAATGTTGAAAACCCCTCTAATTGATCATCTCGACATTGAGATGTATGCATATATATAATATAAAAAAAAAATTGTTGAGTCTCATAATAGTGCATCTTGCAACACATTATCTAAACCGTCTATTTTCAAGATTTTCATACGTTTATAGATCTACTTGATTTTAACCATTTTTGGAGTTTAAAATTTTATGTTTAGAGATAAAAATAGATTTTCAAATAATCTTAAGAATTTTTTACACTAAAATTATATGTTATGATAAAATTTGGAGACATGCCTTAATTGGATCTTTAAAGCCTGCAACCTTATACAAACCACACCCTGAATTAATAGTCCTTATGATTCGTAGTTTTAACAACAACAAAATCAAGGAAAATAATATCTTATTCACGAATTATGCAAAAAAAATACCAAAACACCCAAATCAAGCAACCAATGTTTTTAAACTTGGCTCAGGCCTAAGACTTGGCCTTAGCCCAAGCTGAATAACTTGGCCGAGTAGTTAAGAAAGTAAAAAAAATAAAAAAAAAAGGCATAAAAATTTGTTAAAAAATAAAAATCAAGAAAACAAATAAAATAAGTAACAGAATTCAGAATTCATTAAAAAATTTGATTTATACCTTGAAATACTAAAAATAAATAAAAATCAGAACATAGTGAGACAAGACTTCCCAAATCATCATAAACACCATATAAATAATCTAAAGACATCTTTCTAAATGATCTAATTAAGAATTTGAAACAAAATTTTACATTTTCAATCATTTTAAAAGGCCGAGTTGGCCCTAGAACTCGCATCGTCCAAGTCCTAGAAACACTACTAAGAACAAATCGTTTTATCATTTTAACTCGGATTTGGACTTAAGTGGTTAGCAGGTGACATGGATTAGCGGTCCCTCTCAAGGAAAAAACAATCACACGCATCGAGAGAAAATGACCTCCACATAGTTGTCCTAAATCTATGGCACTTAGAACGGTAGGCCCGAGCATTTGGTAAAACTGAAGAAGATGTCATAAACTTTGAGTAACACCCGATGTGTCGCCTTCTCTATGAAGATGAGAGAGAGAGAGAGAGAGAGGAGTATTTATGCTTTACTGATCTTCAACACAGAGAGAGAAGAAAAGGGTTTATCTTATGGATGCAATTTTTATAAGGCCTAAGCTTTAGGAAAACTGATCTTCAACAGAGGGAGAAAAAGGCTTTATCTTATGGATGCATTTTTTATAAGGCTTAAGCTTTAGGAAAACAAAGTAAAGCCTCACTTCAAATCCTCATCCAGAAAACATTTTGAGCATCGGAAATCTCTATGATCCTTTTAAAATAAGGGATTATCAACAAAAAGACCATTTATCTTTTATATTTGGAGGTCAGAATTATTTTCCACTCATTAAATGTCAAATTGGATAGCTGGAGATGAGCCACAAAATCCGAGAAATTTATTTTTGGAACTTAGTGTCTATTCAATGACACTCTTACAACTACTCATTTTAAAATTTAAGAGACAAGAATGATTGTGACCTCCATATACAAAAGATAAATGATATCTTTGTAGACAATCCCTGTAGAAAACAACATACGTTGCTCCTTCTCTTATCTCTCTCTAGGTATTTATCATGAGGTGAAAGCAAAAGACAAACTCCTTACTTGGTAACCCATGAGGCAACATGGACCACAAGTTAAAGTTACATATTTTGTTTTCAACTAGAAGGAACTAGAATAACGGTGCCATAGGAAAGTCGGTGTATAAACCGTCATAGGAAAGCTCTTTGTAGCGGTGGATCATATTGCTCATGGCAGTACACAAAACCTATATAAGGGGTAGAGGAGCGTGTAAGAATTAAGAGTTTGAGTAGTAATGGGTTGAGCGTGTGAGTTTTGAAGAGTATATTTGGGGTGGTTGAGTGCTAGAAATATGTTGTAATATTTCTTTTAGTAATAAAAATCGGTATTTCTCTCTCTTCATTGTCGTGCAGGATTTTACAATTGGTATCAAAGCTTCCGCAAAACTCTACAATTAGTATCAGAGTGGGTTTGGTCAGGGGCCATTGTAAGTGAGCAGTGGGATGCTATGAAGCTGATCCGTCAGGGACTAAGCTTCTAAGTGTTGAGATCGAATGTTATCACACTAATCAAGTGTATGTGAGTAGTGAGATACTGTGAAGCCGATCAGTCAGGTACTGAGCTTCTAGGTGTTGAGATCAACGTACGATCGCACAAATCATGATGACAGACTTAGCGAATGCATCTGGAGGGGTCAAGAAGCTTAACCACTACAACTACGACGACTAGCGGTTACAAATAGAATCATACCTACAATGACAGGTCCTTTGGGAGATCGACGGCGGCAGTGAAACCATACCACCCGAGAGAGAGAGAATGTCAGGGCACTACCATGATAGTGCATCAAGGCCTGGAAGACCATGTTCGCATTAAAGATAACAGTTCAAAAGGAGTTGTTGGACCACATTCGAGAGTCCACCACTCCGAAGGAAGCTTGGGATGCATCGGCAACATTGTTTGTCAAGACAAATGATGCTCGACTCCAATTTTTGGAAAACGAGCTTAGATTGGTGTCACAAGGGACTATGATGATCAGCCATTACTTCACAAAGGTACAATCTCTCTGCGATGAGATTTCAAAACTTGATCCGGAATCTCGGATTAATGAGGCAGAATGAGACGGATCATTATCAGAGGACTAAGACCCGAATACAATGGTTCATGATTGCCATCAGAGGGTGGCAAACACAACCATGTAGAGTCAGAAAGTTGCTAGCAGGCAAATCAAGAGACGTTGGTCAAACAAATGGCCGGTATATCCGTGAAGGATGAATAGGAGGCACTCTTCTCATGAAAGAAGGCTGGAGAGACTGTCGAGACTAATCGAATGAGAGAGGGCTTCCAGCCAGGGGGAGCTAGACGAGGCAATACCGGCTCAAATCAGTGATCAAGGAAACCCAGACAAGACATTGAGTGCTATAATTGTGGCAAAAATGGCCACTTTGCTCAGAATTGCTGGTCAATGAAAAAGAAGTCAGCTGAAGGAAATACGGTGACAACAACAAGTCACCAGTTCAAGATCGAGTATGACTAGGATACTGAGGCATCTTTTGCAGTAGCTGAAGAGACCGAACTGATGAGCTTGGAATTGGATGATTATCGATTGGACGATGCAAGAAGCCTTACAAGAGACCAATTACAGGGTGATCAATCAGTCGAGCTGAG